TGGAATAGATTTTTTAAAATGTTTATGAGTAAAATTGTGTGATAGGAATGGGAACAAATACAAGCATTGATGCGAAGAACGGGAAAAGAAGGACTGTTAAGACGCGTGCGTCAGTTCAACATAACCCACGTGACCAAAACCATGATCCAACAATCTTCTCAAATACTTCGACTTTACGACGAAGAGACAATTCGAGATTCCAGTGCGGGTCTCGGTACATTTTACAAATGGGTAACTAAGTCGCTTTTTGCAATAATTATCTGCCTAAAAAGGTGTATCATGCTTGTTTTAGCTATAGATTTATTAATAATTATTCATATTTCATGGTTTTTTCATCACAATTTCAGGCGTCGAATGTTATTGAGGAAATGACGACATCAGAGGATTCTCCGGGAGACTGAAAGACTTGGGAAATAAAATACAATATACGCTCAAAAGATAAACTTTTGCAAAACCATTTAACTACACTGATTAAATCTATTAGGGGTTTATAAAAATTATATCAAAACAAATAGACATAATAACGAATATCTAGGAATATATTAAACGGATATTTACTTCCATGATAAAGAATGAATAAAGATACAGGGGCAAACGATTTACTTTTCAAGACAACACATAGCTTATATTTCGAGATAGTTGGAGTCTTTGTTCACGTTTGTTGTGAGACTTTATCTATAAGATATTTCAAAGAAAAGTATTAAATGTAAGAAGCGAGCGACAAAGACACATTTTTCCAATTTGTTATCGGCAATGGTAGAGGTTATGTTTATGTTAGAAATTACACACAGGGAAGGATTAAATAGAATTCCTTGATGATAACGTTTATAAATTTATCAACAAAAGGTTTTAAAACTTATCTTGTACATGCATTAAACCATATTTGTTATTTATTTTTCTTTTTTATCATATAATATCAATTTGATTTCGCATTTTTTCATGAAGTATTACGTGGAACAGGGGTCTATCAGATATATAATTCAAGATATCAAAGAAGGAAAATAAAGTAAAAATTTGGCAGGAACAGAAAATTTTGCTTGATTATGCAAAGCTGCCAATGATATTGATCGTATCCAGAGCATGCTCTTGAGTATCGAAACCAAACATAACTGGATATTCATGCTCTAAAAATACTTATTATTTGATTGTTTTTAGACAAAAATATATACATGCATTTCAAATAACGTTTTAGGTCACCTGAGCTGGAAGCTCAAATGAGCTACTCTGATGACCTGTTGTTCGTCTGTCCGTCCGCCTGTAAACTTTTCACATTTTCAACTTCTTCTCAAGAACCACAGAGCCGATTTTAAACAAAGTGTGTACAGAACATCCTTGAGTGAAAGGGGGGGGGGGTTAAATTGTTAAACTGAAGAACCAAGTCCAATTCCAAGGGGAGATAACCAATAAATGACAAAAATAGGGTGGGATCATTAAAAAAGCTTCTCAAGAACCATTGGGCCAGAAAAGCTGAAACTTATGTTGAAGCATCCTGACGTAGTGTAGATTCTGAATTGTTCAATTCATGGTCCCCATTGGTAAGATGGGTTCACAATAGGGAATCAAAGTTTTACATTAAAATGTATAGTAAAAATCTTTAAAGATATTGTCATGAACCGCTGGGCAGAAAAGCTGAAACTTATGTGGAAGCTTCCTTGGGTAGTGTAGATTTAAAATTGTTCAAATCTTGGCCCCTGGAGGTAGGGTGGGTCCACAATAGCGAATCAAATTTTTACATTGAAATATATAGGAAAAAATCTTTCAAAATCTTCTCTACTGGGCTAGAGAAGGTGACGCTTATGTGGAGTCATCCTTAGGTAGTTAGATCTTAAATTGTTCAAATTATGAACCCTGAAGGTAAGGATGGGTCACAAAAAGTATAACATGTACAAGGAGGAAAATCTGATGAAGAACAGCATGGCCAGTTAAAACAGGTGAGCCCATGGGTCCATGGGTCTCTTGTTTGAAAAAGTAATTCGAGAGAAAGTGAAAATGCATTCAACGACGAATAAACAAGAACCTCCAACTGTGATGATTTTTTTTATTTAGAGTTATTTTTGTGTCCGGTTTGGAGGCGCTTGGTGTTTCCATTAACTTTTTTTTATTATTTTCAGCAATAGTCAGTCACAGTTCAGGAGCATGGACAGGCATCGTAAAATTTAAAGCAATGATGGGACTCAACATTTATAAATATAACATAAACTTTATTATGAATTGGGAGAAATACCCATTTTTGTCACATCGCGTAAACTACTGCAATTTAATAACAGATTATTTCTTTTATCGTAAATATTAACTTAAACTGTGCGAGAGAAAATTTTTAGAAAACATCGGGAATCAGTGTCATTGATTTGGTCGACTTTAAATTCCCAACTGTTTCAGAGGAATTCATTTTTCTCCATAGAAATTCTATTACATTTTCAACTACAGTGCAAAAAAAGATTTTGGTACGTGAAGCCATGTTCTCTGTAAGCTGGATACGGGGTTTGGACAAAAATATTTTAAAGCCATATTAGAATAGAAACCTCATAAAACAGGGTTATCAACATAAAAACATAACTAGGATTTAATCTGCGTAACATCTTCCTTATTAGAAATGCATGTAGGATTCAGGATGGCTGATTCCGAACTATTTTATCTAATTATTACGCAAAGTAATTAGGTTATATATATTGTAGTACAAACACAATTACGTGAGATATTATAATTTCGGATAAAGATATAACAGAGGATATCTTTTGTTCACACCTATATGAAAAAAGGTGGTAAGTTAACATGTCAGTCACAAAGTCAAAGGTTACAACATTATATTTAATATTCTAAAACAAGAAGATATGCTCTACAGATCAACATAAAATGAAAAGGGCCATTAGAAACTTTCAAAAACAATTATCTATGTTGGCATAGAAGGACATGAATAAAAGAAGAGATCATACGAGATAAAAATAATTACTTTTAGCATTGGTAATATTGAAACTTGTACTTTTGTCTTTTAACTAATGCCTTGAACAATTTAAAGTTTGAAGTAAGTTTCTGAAATTGTTAATTTTTTTTTTTTTTTTTTTTTTTTTTTTGAAAATTTTAACTCATCTGAGACAAAAGATTAAGTAAGCTTTTCAATTTAAAATTGATCTGTTTTGTGTTGTTATCGATTAGTCGTATAATTTCATATTTCAAACTTCTTTTCCAGAGCCACTGGACCAATGTCAAATAATTTAATTCTGATTGTAACATGCCATTTCATTGGATAAAAAATTCTTTATATCGAATAAACTGTGTTGCCTACGTACCTCACAATGACTTGCGTCAAAAACGTATCCATCCACCAGACGATACATATAAATAATGCACAATTTGAAGTCATTTCAAAATGGCAATCGTCTTATTTTCTTATGCTAAATGAATGAAAATTAAATTATAAGGAATGACTTTAATAGCAACCCAATTTATACGGTGTAAACTGGGTTGGAACATTGTACCCTTTTCTTATTTTTGGGTTGCTATTCAAATTCACTCCTTAATTAAATATGGCACAAAGTATTTATCGGTAAGGAATTCAATTATTTAAATGAAAAGACATACCTGTCTCCCAGTGGAAGATAAGAAGAAAATGAAAAAAATCAAAGGGTCATTTCAATATATTTTCTTGAATTACTGGACCAGAATAGAGGAAATTTATGTGATGGTTTAATGACAGACTAGATTCCAGTTTATTTTAATCATAGTCCCTGGGATGAGTGTCGAGCCATGAAAGGGAATCAAACGATAAATGGGAATACACTGTATAGTAAACATATCTTTAAAAATCTTCTCAAGAGCAGCAAGAACAAGTCATAAGAAAGACTCCTCAGGAAGTGCAGATTCAACATTGTTCAAATCATGGTCCCTAGGGGAACGTTAGGTCACAATAGGAAATCGACGCTTTACATGTGATTATGCATAGTCTTTAAAAATCTTCTCAGAAAATCCACGATTACTCATAATAATAAGCTAGCAACTTCAGGTAGTGAAGATTAAATCTATTCAAATGACACTGGGGTAGGGTAGGGCCGCAAAATGATTATTTACAATATCATACATATTTTTGAATGAATTATACTAAATAAATGCAATCTACAAATATGCATTTTAAATTCAGTAAGTGTGTACTGAAGGGGAAAGGGAAGTGATTTGCAGGCTGAATACTTTGGCATAAAACTTAAATAATAGTCGTTGGTCATGAATAGTCATTCCTTATTAGCCTTTGGTCTTGTTGATTACTATTCAGCTCTTGAGGTCGAGTTGTCTGTTTCAAACAAAAGTTACGAAATTGGATAGTTATAACTTAGCTTCTCTTACAAGTAAGACTTATCAGAATCTAGGTAAGGGAAATTTATATATCTGGTGTTGGAAGATTTTTTTCTCTCCAAAATTATGACTATGTTTTAATATTGGGGTTCTATTAAAAAAAAAAATTCCATCTGTATCAATAGAACCCCAATATTAAAACATATTTTAGAGTAAATCATTATTTTCTATGACATCAGAGTAGACAGTGAAACGATTCAGCAAAGACAAGTGAACAGTTTCTTTTCTTCATTTTCAAAAATGCAATCCTGTAATTAAAAACACTTAAATACTGGTACTTTGTTGTGAATTATTATTCAATATTAGTCCTTAGTCTTGTTGATTACCATCAGTTCTTAGGTTGTCTGATTCATACAAACACTACGTCATTGGATTGCTGGTACTTCCCCTGTAATTCACATCACAGTCAAGGTAAGGAAAAATCAACTTTTGAAATCATATTTACGTAGCTTTCCTTAAAACTCTAATTAAAAAAAAATCTTCTGTCTAAATTCACCCACCTTCCCAATATTTTATCACATTCTATTTAAATTAAACATTTCTATGTATGACATCAGGATATAAAATAAGTTTTTCCTCACTCACTTTTGGTGACACATCCCGGGTTAATTTATATTTTCTGAAGAAAAAAATCTTCGCTTTAAGGAGAGAGACACATGGGTTGTGGAGGATCAACAACGAATAAAACCGACGGTGGTCATGAAAAAGAGGACTATTTGAGAGAACCAGATAATGACTTGGTAATTTCCTTAATCAGTAACTTGAAAATGTGTTTGCAAACTTATATGTCAAAATAAATGAATGAATAAGGATCCGATTGCTGATGTTTCCAACATTTTTCGGGGTTATGTAAGATTTTTTATGAAAACAGCCTGAAGAAAAAAGTACACAATTATGCATTTAAAAGACAATGATCGGGAAGGGGTAAAGAGACAAATTTGAAGTTGACAACGTTCAACGTTTTGGTAGAATTTCAAGACTTCAATGTTTCGAGAACGTTTAAGCCTGGTGTATGATAAAAGTATGTTAAAACTTCTTTTAACTGAAATTTATCAAAAGTACGAATTTGAGGCGTGCTTGATTTCATATATCCTTGCACTTACACGTACTTAAATTTATCCTTCATATTTAAGAAATACGGGGGATCTATGGTGTATTTATAAAATTATCAAGACTTAAATCAACACAAGAACAGAAATGTAGGAAAGCAAAACAAACTCTTAATTGGTATGAGTTTGTATTCAGTAATGTTTAAAGTGTTAACAAATCGAACTCATCTGGTAAAAATAACAGACCTCGAGACCATGCCTCAATGGGGGAATTCCAAACAAACATATTAGTAAGGATGCATTGGCAAACATCCTCATCCTATTGTTTGCGTAATTTTTTAAGAGCCTCAGACGCTCAGAAGACGGTCTAAAATACGGTAGTGAACATTCTTTGTAATTAAGAATGTTTGGATAAAGGTTATAAATATTGCCACTGCTTGTGAATATTAGGATTTTTTATTTAATTTTAATATTATTATTATTAAAATATTAAATTCAATTTTCATTAGAATAAAGTTATTTTAAAAACTATTAGAGAAATTTAAAATTGTTGGCAGTGTGTACGTTTATACTTAAACTTTAATAGAAAATATGTTTCGAAATAAGCAAAAACATCCAAGGCTAAATAATGAATTTTTAATCTAAACTTCATCTTCATCTACTGATATATGGTTTCTAATGAAATATGTAAATAGTGAACAGTAACCAAGCTCAAAATTCCATTGTCACACCCGCAGTGTGCTCCTTGTCATGATCGGACAAACGGATGAATCCGTAGACAAATCACCAATAAACAAAAAATTAACTCTTTTTCAAAAGATTTTTGTATCGGAGATGAAGAAAATGCTTATGCACTAAAACAAAACATATTAAGATTCTCCATCTTTTATACCAACCTTGCCATTCTCTCATTTTTTCTACATTTAATAGGCAGATTTAGAGGACTTTATAGTGGGGTACCCACCACCAAAACCGAGCTTTAAAAGAAAGAAGCAAATTTTTACAGAACAGGATAAAATTACGGCGGATGCTAAGGCAAAACAAGTAATACTGTTCTTCATTACTCATTATGCTTGATAAAATGATCTGAACTAAAGTTTTAAAGAGTAGATATATAGATATACTTCTACATGTATTTAAAAATTTTAAATCAAAGTTAAAATACATAGTCACCATGAAATGGTTACATGTAAGTGACGATTCAACCTTCAGGGTGACTCATTACGGATTTAAGGACATATGCTACAAGCAAACTTTCCACAAAAAAAAAAATAAATAAAATAAAATAAAATAATAATAATAGTGACAGCGAATGTTTTGTTTATATTGGATAAATTAGTTTCAATATATATTTTCATTCGAAGTTTCTCAAAAATGTCATATAAAGTGATAAAAATTGTATAGGTTTATACAGGTGATTGCAAAAGGAAAAATAACTTAAACACAGAGAAAGCCTACAATTTTTTAATATTTAAGAGACATAATATAGGCATGATTTGCAACCAAAATAAGTACAAAAGTATATAGCGATCCACGCAACCTTTTGTAAGTAGCATGTATCCTTAAGTAATGTATCAGTGAACAGATTGTTTAAGGTAGTTTACAACACCATAATATTTATTGGATTTCTACGGTATCAAATTGGTGTATGATTTTAACATTAAAAGATCACTATAGGCTCTGTATAAATTTGTATGAATATCTGGATTTTGTTTTAGTGAAAATAACAGAATTGTTTCGGTTGCAAATAAGACACCCGAGAGCTTTAGATTTGCTACTAAAAATGCATACTAAACACTCTGATAAAACATTTCCAACAGAATTAAGTAGAATCAGGTTGACATTTTAGTTGTTTTTCATTATTTATGAATTCGATAAAAGAAAACCTTTAATTTATGACAATTTATTAATACTTTTAAAATTCGTGCTTTAAATCCTAAAGATATCTTTTTATGTTGTAAAAAATATTTGACAATCATATATTTCAAAAAGATAATGTTATGAAATAGCAAAATTAAGAAAAAAAATTGACAATTTTTAAATTTGAGACGAATTTGAGACCAATTTCGATTGAAAATTTTAAAAAAAAATAGCAAATTGATATCAATCTGATGCAGTTACTTCGGAGAAATTAACTTGCTGAATAATAATTTCAATTAATTTGTTAAAAGCAATGTAGAGTTTTGTGAAATTGTTAAATATTTCTACTTATATACTTCCAGTCAGTATCAATATAATTGAGATTGGGATATGTTCAAATAAAGATATCAAAAATTTCTCTTTAAATTCGCACGTTTGTTTCAATTTCTTTTCAAAAATAATATTATAATTAACTTTACAATATTTTTGTGTAAAGGTAAAAGTTTTTTGAAAATTTTATCCATATATTTAAAAAAATTGAAAAAGATATGATTTTATTGTTTGTATGTTTGTATATTGTTTAACGTCCCTCTCGAGAATTTTTCACTCATATGGAGACGCCACCACTTGCCGGTGGAGAGCTGCAAATTTTGTCCTATACTCGGCACTTACGGCCATTGAGCAGTGAGGGATCTTTTTCGTGCCAGCACCTACTGCGACATGGAACCTCGGTTTATACGATCTCATCCGAAGGACCGGTCTCCACGTCCCACAGTGGGATTCGAACCCGCGACGTAAGGATGTACTCCCTACTTTGCGACTCTAGAGCAGACGCTCTAACCACTGCGCCTCGCGGGTGACTTAGATATGAATTGTGACCTTTTTAAATTTTGCATTACTTAAAAACAAATTTGAACTTTCGATTGTCTTATTTGCAAGTTAAATTGAAGTTATATTAGTCTTAAACTTTCAATGATAAAAATCATCTTTCAAAAGATATACTAAATCTTACAGAATAAAATGAAATAAAATAAAATTAAGCTCCGGTGGGCGTCAATATACATCATTAAATAAAAGTTTGGTGTGGCATTACTCCTTCAATAATATTATTATTTACACAGCCATCTATTACATTATTTTCAATGGGGGTTGGAAGGGGTAGCTTTTTTGAGGTAGAAGTGTATTGGGAAAATTGTATCCCCACTCTTTTCATAAGTTTTAACTTCATTGCGAAGTTTACAAAGTAAAATCATTTTAACTCATAATATTTTTGTTTAAGAAGTGTAAGTCTTCATAGTCTAGACAAATAAAGCAGAACATTCAGACAATAATTTTTAACTTCCGTGTTCCCTGTGGTTTAACAATTAACATAATTGCAGAATTAGTCCTATACCGATTAGAAGCAGTGAAAAGTGGGGTATTGTTATTTGTATGTTTGTGTATATCACAGCTATTATGTTTAGATTGAAGTAGAAGATTATCAGACTCTGGATGACTTAGCGCATACTCTGGCGGACGGATTAACAAATGACGTGCAAAAAGTGCGGGCGATCTTTACCTGGATTGGTTTACAGGGGTCAAGGAAAAACAAATCTAAAAAGGAAGATAATAAAGGCCAAGATCTCTCTTCGCCAAAAACCATTGTACAACAAGTTATACAAAGAAAACGCTCGTACAATTACTTATTCATTAGCTTATGTAGGTAAGGAAAACGCAGGAATAACAAAACAATGATTAAAATGTGTAAATAATACTGTAAAAGAGGAATACATTTCGTTGCATAGTGGTTTAATTTCACTATGCTTGTGTTCAAAGAACCTTCGGTGAACTTTAATCTATTGTGAATATTGTCTACATATCAAAGTAGTTTTCAAATATTAAATATATATTATGTTAAATATTTAAAATCCTGTTTTTCTATTCAGTATTGGTAAAGTAATAAAACATTGAAAATCATTGAAACTTAGGAAACCTGGGGTTAAAAAGAATGATCTGCTAGCTAATGGAAACATTTTTCATGACTCATTTACCATAACAACCTTTGTTTTTTTAAGAATAATTAAAAAAAACAAATATTTAGCAATGCCATACTCAGTAACTGTAAAATTAAAACCAACAAGAAATGTATCAACATAGAATATCGTGAAAAATCAAACATGTGGAATTAAAGACGTTTACAGTATGCAAGATATGAATACATGACTGTAAAGTTGATTTCATAACTTTTAATCTTCAAGGGCTGCCAACATTCCGTCTGTATTTATTCGGGGGCTGGGGAAGAGTGTGTCCTACGAGGTAGGTGACAAAGATGTTGACAATTTGAAAAACTCATGGACGGCAGTGTATGTAGCTGGAGGGTGGCACTTTGTGTTTCCTCATTGGGCTTTCTCAGCAGTGGTTGGTCACTCTAAGGGTACATGGACTCTATTGGAAACCCAAGGTATATAACTTAATAGTATGTAAATAACATTAAACTGAATATTTTGGATAATCTTTTAAAAAAAACTATTTGCTCTTTTTTTCTAAATAGATGTCGTGCTTGAAATAATTAGTAAAATGTGCACTTCCAAACAAAATGTAATCATCGTTGATTGAATATTTTAGAAAAACGTACAAGAGAAAAAGAAGAAAGATCATCAGGTAAAACAGTCAGCCATATAAACGACTATTACTTCCTTACGGATGCAGAAGAGTTCATCTATACTTGTTACCCCTTCAACTCAAAATGGCAACTTCTTACCCTTCCATTCACCAAACAGGACTTTATAGATATCGCATATTGTAAACATCACTATTTTGAAAATCACTACAAAATTACAACACCGAATAAATGTCTCTATGCATCTGTTGGCGGGGCATGTGATATTGGGATCAGGAAGTTAGACAAAGAAGAAAGTTTTTATGCATACAAGCTGTATTTCAACCACGAGAAATCAAAGACAACTCTCCCTTCTGAAATACAGCTAAAGAGATACGTAGCCATATTCAATGAAGGTCCCTCTATTAAATTTTTTGTTCGGTTTCCCTGTGAAGGCATATATAAGATGGAAATCTATGGTGGCCATTCTCCTCTATGTAAATTCAAACTTGAATGTAACGAGGATTTAAACTATATAAAACCTTTTCCTTTAAATCCAGAGTGTGGATTTGGTCCTAACTCACTAACTGAAGAAGCGGGGCTCCGTCCGCAGTCCCACAAGTGTGGCTTTATAAATATAAGAAAGACAATGAATTTTACCGTGATATTTAACATTACAAAGAAAGTGTTTGTCCAGACAAGCTTGATACACAATTATATCGAACAAGAGACGCTGAATAAACACGTGACCCATAAGATAAAAGGTCAGGAACTAGATATCAATGTGAATTTGCCTCAAAAAGGGGAATATGCGCTTCAGATTGATGCAAAGGACAAAGATTCCCATGGTTCATACAAGAATGCCTGCAACTACCTTTTGACCTCAGACAACATTAACAAAAAGCGGAAGCACTACGAGGTAAGTGGATCTGACATCATTCTGGAAAGATATTTGATCAATGAATTTAATAATTTTGTTCTTATTTTTTTTTCAGAATCCGATAGAAAAAAGAATCAGGAAGGCATTACAGGAACACACTACTTCAAATGACATAGGGGCTCTCCAAAAGGCTCTTGATGACTTTGATAAGGTTGATCTAGACGACAAAGGGGATCGCCAACAGGCAGAAGAAAGATTGACGTACCTGAGCCTGCGAAAAGGTACCAAATACCGTGTATACTGCTTTAGAAAATTCCATTTATTGCAAAACGGGATCAGACAGATTGATGGAAATTGACTTTATAATAGTGTTTGTAACAAAAATATCAACGATAAATCAACGATTTTTTTTTTAGATAATTCTAAAAGCAAAAACGTATATGATGTTATTATTTTTTTTTTTCGTATCTTCAGAACTGAAAGATGCAATTGCAAGAAGGCATGGTGAGAAACTAGAAGAAGCAATAGAAAATGCTAAATCGTCCGTGTACAAGTCCAATTTTGAGAATATTATTGAAGAAGCAGAGGATTTGTTATCACAGTTGCAAAGGCTGAAGGCATTTGCTCACGATATCCTGCAAATGCAACAGACGACAGTCTCCGAAATCCAAACCTATAAACACCCAAAACCTATGGCTTATGATGTCATGAGAGCTACATACATCCTTCTAGGGGAAGAGGAATGGCGGGTCGAGGTGAGAGCAATAAACATATCAAAATTTAGGGGAAAATTGCATAAAATATTAATGGAGGAGACTTCTTTTTTTTTTTATAGTTTTTTTAAAATAATGTTGTGCGTTTAGGAATGGGAACAGATACAGGCATTGATGCGTAGGACGGGGGAAAAAGGGCTGTTAAGGCGCGTGCGTCAGTTCAACATTACCCACGTGACCAAAAACATGGTCAGTCACTCCTCTCAAATACTTCGACTTTACGATGAAGAGACGATACGAGCTTCCAGTGTGGGTCTCGGCACATTTTACAAATGGGTAACTAGGACTTTTTGAGTTTTTTCAATGATTATTTGTTTTTAAAAGATTTATCTACTTGTTTAAGTTATGAAGTTAATTATTATTTATACACTATGTTTTTGTCACAATTTCAGGCTATACATGTTATTGAAGAAATGACAAAAGCAGAAGATTTTTCTGGAGACTTAGAGGTTCAGGAAAATATTCGCAAAACTTAGATATATAATAACTTTTTGCAAAACTGTTTAACTACACTTTTCAAATCTATGGGAGTTTATTAATCATGCCAATGAATCTAGGAACACGTATAAAGCTTATTTACTTCCAAGATAGGAACCGAATGAAAATGCTAGGGCTAATGTTTTTCTGACTAAGACAACATATAGCATAGATTTAGATTGGTGAAAGCTTTGCTCATGTTTCTTGTGAGATACTGTATCTAAAGTTAATTCATCGAAAAAAGTGTTAAGAAGGGAGTGAGACATACATGTACTTATGGAGGTTGGCTTGATTTTAAGACATTTAACATGTGATCTTTAGAACTAAACTTCAAATTTTTATCAATTAAAATATTATCTATTATCGGCAGCGGTAGCGTTATGTTAAAAAGTGCACATGGGGAAAGGAGTAGAGAGAATAATTCCTCGTTGATAACATATATAAAATGTATTAATAAAAGAATTTTAAAATTTTTACATCGTATATTCGATCGTAATTGTTGCTGTTTTATTTTTAATTTTTATTTCTTGAATTGTTTGATATTCAGTCGTAATTGTTGCTGTTTTATTTGTATTTATTTTTTTCATAATTTATTATCATGACATGATTTCATGAAATTTTTTTTACGTGAAGTATTACTCAGAATAAGACTCTATAACATATATAAACAACTCCCACTGACTTTCTGGATATCAATTAAAGAATAAAAATAACGTAAAAAAGTTGGTGGAAACAGAAAATTTTGTTTCAATATGCTACAGCTGGGAATGACATTTTTTTCGACACTTCACGTTTATCATTACGTCACTCACTGCGTGGGATATCATTGGCATCATCACGTGACATACATCCAGGGTATCAGCAAGTTGAAAGTTTTTGCAAATTTCTAATTTTTATAGATCATTTGTACGTTCTTCATTAGGAGTTTTTGTTATAAACTGCACTGATTTTTTTCATTCTTGAATAAATTGTTGATGATAAAACATTGTTTTCTCTCATTTTCATAACTGATCCGTTCATTATGGTGGCATATTTATGCCATCGAGATAATTTTTTTTTAACATAACATATTGTGTGAAGTCAAGGTAACTATCTCGTCAAATCAAGATGACTTAGTGTTTTCTTTTTTCGATATATACCAATTTCTATCTCGTCTAGTCAAGATAAGCTGTCATATTTTCTTGTAATAGGTATCTCGACATGACGTGATAATTTATCTTGAGTATCAGGAGTAAAAATTTTTCATTGACAAGTACTGCCTCTTCATAATTGCAGTCAAGATTACAGTATAATCGTACACGTATTTATATATTTATAGACGACATGTTGTGGGGCGTCTCAGTCTTTTTTACCATGAAACTAAGCGGATCTCATTTATTGATATTATTCTTCAAATTCATCACTGCTATTGAATCAATTTAAATTTTGTATTTGTCTATTGGAGGAACATACTTTTCAGCGATGAAGATTTTCATATAAACCGTTCCAAACAATTTCACTTTAAATAGGTAACAAAATAACCCATTTACTTAATTCAAAATTTCCATTATTGGTCTTTCCTGAGTTACCGAGACACGGCATAAGTGAAACAATTAATGCAGTCAAGTAATTATTCAAGTATTGATCTCTGATAAACAAAAAAATCATTTATTTAAATATAAATTAAATAGCAAATCTATTGAATTAATGATTGCAAATATTACATGTAATTAAATTAAAACTCATTGGTTTGGTTTACGTGTGTTTTATTTCACTTTACTGAAATCATGGACAAAGTTTGGTATGAGGTGCCGTTTTGGTATTTACTGCCAAAAAGTGATATCACCTATTCGAATAAGTGATATCACCTATTCGAATAGGTGATATCACTCATTCAAATTGAATAGGTGATATCACCTATTCGAATAGGTGATATCACTTATTCGATTAGGTGATATCACTTATTCGAATAGGTGATATCACCTATTCGAAATGTATAGGTGATATCACCTATTCAAATAGGTGATATCACCTATTCCTGCTGAATAGGTGATATCACCTTTTCGAATAAGTGATATCACCTATTCGAATAAGTGATATCACCTATTCAATTTGAATGAGTGATATCACCTATTCGAATAGGTGATATCACTTATTCGCATTTCTTACAACAACAAATAATGAATGCTCCCTTCCTCAAGATTATCTAGATTTTCATTGGAACCAAGCAAATTCGGGCTGCGTTAGGGTCTGTAAGTCTCGTCACGTGACTCGCGAGATTTTTCGATAATATTAACTTCCAGGTACCTCACACATGGAGATGTGTATTGGGTTATGCATGTTTATGGTTTACACAAAGCGTATAAGGAAAGTTTAAGCAGTTGTACAAAGCCGAAGGGTTCTCCGACTTACGATGGATAAATTGAGGGTCGTAAAAGCTTGGGTGCGAGCAAGTAGGAGGAGAATTTCGATCGAAGTACAGGTAAACAAGTCAGAGAATGTCACCTGCTTCTTGGGTATTCTTGGGTGAAATAGAAGTCTTATACATTTGTATCTGATTAGAATAGTTTTGTTATCATCATTCCAACTAATTTATTAACAGATTTTTCTTGAATTCGAGGATAATGATGTTATTACCAGCTGATTAAGGAGGAGTAGTGTAATGCCCTGTTCACACGGAGAGTTTAATTCGCAGTAAATTAATGCGAAGTAAAATAATGCGAATTAAAGTAATGCGAATTAAATTGCGTTCACACGACAGATAATGCGAAGTAAACTAATGCGAATTAAAATTTTATTTCTACAGTAAGGCTTTTCAGTAAGGCTATTATGACGTCATTTTCAAATCACGTCACCTTATGCAGAGCAAATCCATTTGACATAATACCATAGTGTCTATACACATTTCAGTGATTTACGTAATTTTCCTTTGTTTTGCACTAAAAATGGCATAGGTACCTATAACTGACCACCGTCATGTGGCAGGTGACTTAATTTTGCCATTACGCATGCGTCAAAATTTAATTCGAATTAGCTTCGCTTAGCGTTCACACGAAGCTAATGCGAAGTAATTTAATGCGCAGTAAACTAATTCGAATTAAACTAATTCGCATTAAATTCTCCATGTGAACGCGGATCAAATTTTATTCGCAGTAACTTACGTTTAATTCGAATTAAACTCTCCGTGTGAACAGGGCATAAGTGTCAGATGGGTACGAACGTCATCTTGTGACAGCATCACCTTTGTTTGGGTAAATAATTTGTTCAGAATACGCTTCATTTATCAACAAAAATTTAGCTGTTGCATGTCAGTAGGTCTAGTTTTTTAAGTATTCAACACTGTTCAATGTTTGAAAGCACTTATCAGGTCCAGTACAATCTTTTGATTTAGCTATATATATAGCTTTATTAAGCTGTTCAGAATAGCTTAATTTAGCTATTTTATCACACTTTTTCTTAAATGTATACTTTTCTCAGCATGCACAAAAAGTCGCACCTTGGTGCAGTGATGATACTCAACCTTGAACTCATCTGAAATTGATGCATTTAAAACTCACTCATTAAAATCTCCTTGCATACATGTGATAATTTTTAGGCCCAAATACTGTACAGCAGTCCTCAAAATACAGGAATTTGGGTGAAAATACTGTACATTGTTCATCAGAAAACTATACAAAAAACTGTAAAAAATATTGACCAAAAATCAATGTAAGAGGTTCATTTTTTAAGCTCTTCTGAGCCAAAGGCCCAAAGAGCTAATGCTGTGGCCATTCGTGCGGTGTGCGTAAACTTTTTTAGAATATGGGCCATAACTCAAGAGCCCTTTGGTCAATTATTGTCAAATTTGTCACAGGGTATCCTTGGGCCAAGGGCTTCCGTTTATACTAAAACTAGGGTTGTGACCTTAAACAAGGGGAGATAATTAGGAAAATAGAAACAAAAGAGACTTTGTACTCAAAGTTTTAAAAGTTTTTGGGCTACATATGCAATTGATAGTTACTTCTTCAATGAATTTATAAAGGAGGCCAATTATGGTCAACAAGATAATTGATTAATTCAGTACATTCAATGAGAAGCAATCATACTTATCCATGCCTCAATGCACACAAGGTAGTGGACAGTTACTCAAATAATAGAAATTTATCTTTTGCTTAAAAGTAATCAAAAGTTGCAAAGTTGGAGCTATCTTTGATTTTGCTTGTTGTTTCGATAGCCCATAGCACATATATGAATGGTCAAATACATGCAACTTTTTGTCTATTTCTTACCAAAATAATTTTTGTGAAAAACTGCATATAAATAGCTAAATCAAGCTATTTTGAATAGCTTAATAAAGCTAAATAGCTATTTCAAGCTATATAGCTAAATTAAGAGATTGTGCTAGACCTGCTTATTTCCCAATCCCAACGATAAAACTTTCTTTATATATTCTGCAAATTCTCTCTGCATTTATCATTGAACAAAATTCATATGACTGCAATTATATGACCATATTCTTCAGTTTAGAGAGCATGTTATAGAGGATATTTTGGTTAAAGTTTTGGTCTGTTTCATGCAGTGTTTGAAATATTCTTTCATCTTACACAATTGTATACATTAAGATTTATTTTATAGCTAAAGTACAAGAGAACTGCAGCATCTAAGACTACATGTACATCGACTTTGAATAATCTACCCGGTATATCCTCAAAAAGGCAACTGAAATACAGGTATGAAATTGATGTCACAAAATAAGTTTTTGGACTTACATTTACTCTTATAATTCATATACATATAAAGCATATAAAAAATAAAACTAGAAAAGAATTAAAGGTTCATCAGGTGACAGCTCAATCATGTATGGAATATTATTTGGCCAAATAAAAAAATATGTGTGGTTCCCATTACCTGACCGTCCCTATTTTAGATCCCCGACCCTAAACTTTTTTCGGCAATATTCATATTTATTTTCCGGAATTTTCCGCGATTTCCGTCATCCACTTCGGTATTAGTTTTAGTTTCCGCAATGGCGGCCTCCATG